GGCACATAACAACAACAACAACAACAAAACCATTCCTTTTAGACTGCTCTTCCTTCTACCTATCCCAGTACAGTGTTCATTACATATCTATCCTTTCCCTGCTCTTGCCCCCCTCTTCCGCCCCTGCCCAATACCGATTACTACAACAGGAGTCTTTTGAAGGACTTGTCCTTTGTGACAGAGATATTTGAAAGTGAAGCGTTCATTCTGGCTTACACCCTAACAAATAAATAAACTAACAATAATCCTCACAATTGGATCAATAAGAAACATGATAAACAGAAAAAAGACTAAAGTTATCAAACATTTCATTTTATTTGTATCCACAATAAACACCCATTGTTACAAAACAGTCAAGATATCAAATGACAGGAAGCTTTGGACAAATTTGTTGTCTTCTTTTTGGAGGGAGGGGGCTCACAAAAGCCCTTTTTATTTGAGGTGAGGGTGGTGGGCTGAGGGTCAGAGCTCCTAGTGGTTGCACCACTGTTAGTGGCACCATGCTGACTGCAGATCTGCTTCTCTGGGGTTAGAAGGGTGCGTTCTTGTGTACTGTTGGGTTAGAATCCTGCAGGGATTTCAGAGGCAGTTAATCACTCAGGAGAAGATTGTTCATCCTTTTCCCAAGGAGCAGTTGCAGGGGTTGAACCACATGCCTTCAGTTTTCCTGCGCAGCTTTTACCATTATGCCACCAGAGTTCCCTAAGTCTGTTGTCTAAATCCCCTTTAAAGTGCTAATGAGCAGTTTAAAGATTAAGTTGCACCCGACCCCAGCCAAATACTCTTCCGTTATTTCAGAAACATGTGAAAGTTGGACAATAAATAAAGAACCGTGGAGACTACTTGAAGCATTTGAAATGTGGTGTTGGTGAAGAGTTTTGAATATCCCATGCCATAGACTGCCAAAAGAACAAGCAAACAGGTCTTAGAAGATGTGCAGTTGAAGTACTCCTTGGAGGCAAGGATGGTGAGACTTTATTTCACATACTCTGAAAATATTAAAAGAGCCAGCCCTTGAAAAAGTTCATCATCATGCCTGCACAGGTAGAGACCTAATAAAAGAAAGGAACACTTAACAAGAAGGACTGATACAGTGACTGAAAATCCAAGGTTAAGCACAGCTGATTGAGGATGGCACAAAATAGGGAAGGCTTTTGTTTTGGTGTTCGTAAGATCGCTACCAGTGGAACCACTCCAACACCTAAATATAATACCACAATGACCTTTAGGAAAAGAGAGAGACTTCAACTGGATTAATTGACACAATGACTACAGCAAAGGCTCCAACATTGCCATAACTGCAAGAAAGGTGCAGGTCAGGACAGTGAATTTCATTCTGTTGCACACAGGGTTGCTAAGATTTGGAACCAATTAATGACATCTAACAACAATCAGGTGATGGTATCCTCAGGGCTTCTTGAAGCTTCTATGTGGGACACAAACGGGTTTTACCAGAATTAAGAAACATTTAGAGAGATATTTATTTCTGTGCACTTCTAGTCCTTTTTTATACTCCTTTTGAGACACTCCTCATGCGGAGGATACATTCGGGCATGGGATGATGAGAGCCCAGGGTGAACTATATAACCAGAACTCAAACCAATGCAATGTGCATACATCAGCCAGATCATTAGAAAGTAAACAGAGGCCCAACAGTGAGATATTTGGGGAATAACTGTAATTTCTAACCAAATTGTAGTAACATCTCTAGAAAGCCATCTATAGCTGGTAAGCATGAGTATACTACATGATATACATGATATATTCAAACAGTTTTCCTGGTGTGGTGTTTTGTTCATTTCTATTTGGGGATTATGGACTACCAATCTCTTTGAGTCTATGTTCATGGAAATAAAAATTTTGAACACTCACATGGCTTCTCTAAAGCTCACTTGAATTCTCTTTTTTTTCATACTTTTATAGACATGTTTTCTCTTTAGCAACAAAATTTTTCAAAAGCCTCATGCAAATTCAGGCTGATTTTAAAAAGTATTTTTTTCAGATAGCATACTAAACCAAGAGTTTCATCGTCTATAAGATGGGTGAAGTGTTTCTGGTAATTTTTACTATCATGTCTCTAGACTCTAAGGGAATGAAAGTGATATATACCTTCTTTTTATATAATTTATTTATTAAAATAACAAGTTACTCCAACAAAGAGTCAGTTATTAAATCACTTAGAACACGTGTGTGTGCACACACAAGTGTGTGTGCATTTAAGTGTGCGTGTATTTAAGGAAACAAGATGTCTTTTGAGAAAGAATATGGTTTTTTGAGGAAGAAAGACATCAAAGGAGAGAAACATCAAGAAAGGGTTAGCGAGATTATAGGCAAATTTATCCTAGGATAGATAGCAGTGAACAGCTTCCCCCAGATGGCTAGGAAAATACCAGTTGAATGTGTCAGTGCACTATACCAAAGCTAACATGATATAGAACTATGATTCTTAGGTCCATGATCCAAATACCATATTATTCTTACTTTCTAGTCTACCTTCCAAGGTGACATTTGAGATTTGTATTTAACTTGGCAAGAACTAAACAAAGAAGAAAACAAAATGACTAGGCTTTTCCAGTTATTTCTGAGAAATGAACTGGGTGCAAACAGCTAATCTGGTGAGGAAGATTCAAATGTAGACTATAGTCTGTCCAGAGGAAGGTTCATGAACTCAACGGCAAAGAGCACTTTTTTCAAGACTGCGTTTGTACTCTCCCTGTGTTTTATTTTATTAAGGTTTATCTTTTTCTAAGATGCATTATTTTCTATTCACTCATGTTGGCCCAAATGAGGTCCCTCTTCAGTGGGAAGACTACTTTCCATTGTGCAAAGTTCCATGAAGGAGTGGAGGAATCATAAAGTCACTTATTATGAACAAACACCTCTCTGTTTAATTTTACCAAAATTGTGAACAATTATGCTGAATATTCTCTCTGGAGTTGCTTCTTTTAATATGTTTTCAATAGACAACAAAGCATTATGTAAATAATAGATGTTAAAAATAACTACTACCTAACAATGTTGCTGGAACAATTAGAGTGTAGAAAATTCTCTCACATGAGAAGCCAAGTAAAAACAAAGGCTGGCATGGTGCTGTTCCTTTGGTTCTTTTCAAATAAATAAAACATACTTGCTCTGAACTCATCTCTCCCAGTGAAAACTATTTGGTTGATTTTGTTTTATTTGCCTTTCCCCCCCCCCCCAATTCTCCCTGAAATATATAATACTGGATCCTATTCTTTGGGTAACTTTCCTTTTTTGCCATTTCTGTTTTGAGTTTCAAGAGTTTCACTGTATGTGTGGATTATATATATAGTCCTTATTTTCACGGGCATAGGGCAAGGAATTCTGAAAGCGATCCTTTTTCCAGGCAAATACTATGAAGTCATGTTGTTAAGCATACAACAGAAAGTTCATTTCTTCAGTTGGGGCTTAGGTACCACAGCATACAATCAAAAAGCTAACCTTTGCAAAACAACAGAAACCAGTTCAAATCCTGAAAGTTGCCTATAGATGTCCCTGAGCAAGAAGGAGATACACTTTTGCATGCGAATTACTGGAAAGTAACCAGGCCTATGCACTAAGTTCCTGGTGGTACAATTCATATGTTTAATGAAAGGTTGGAGAGTCTGGTCCATCCACAAACACCTCAAAAGAAAGGCCTCCAATTTTTTTTCCAAAAAAATCACTGAAAATGCCACAGAGCATCGTTCTACTATGACACACATGGAGTAGCCATGAGGTGAAATCAACTTGATGCAACTGAGTTTACACAATGAACCACACACAATGAAATAAAGCAGTGGCTTCCATAGCTTTGCAAAAAGTTCAGGTGCTCTACTTGACTCATTGCTTCTCAAGTCAGTCAGCACGTTTGAAGCCCTATCTGACATTTCTACCTTTCAATGACAAAATGAGACTCCTGAAAATCCTAAAGGCTAGATATTGTCACCTCAAGCTTACAGAAGGGAGAAAGCAATTAATATTTTTTTTTTAAAGACCAGAGAGATGAATCTGACTGAACAACAAACCAAACTCTCCAGTCAATTCCTCCGTGGAGTTTCTATAGCTTTAAACCTTAACAAGAACAGACAGCACCTTTTACTTCTCTACAGGGTGACTGGTCTGCTCAAACTCTGACCTTTTGGTAAATAGCCCACCTCTTAACTCACTTCCTCACCACGGCCTCCTGAAGCACATAAAAGCCGTTTCTATACTAATAACCTAAAAAGTGTTAATGTATCATAGTATTTTATAAAAGTTCTAAATGATATACTTACATTTTGCTGTCACTTTATAACCCCCCAGAGGAGGGGCGTGGCCTTCTACTGCATCAAATCCGGCGGAAACTAGGACCACGTCAGGATCAAACTCTTTGGCCACAGGCATCACTATGCTCCTGCACAGTAAGAAGGCAACCAGTTACACATGGGAATGGCACATTCTTTCAAAATTGCTCAGTGCAAATGACTTGGCATAACCTCAAGAACTTCCCAAGAATAAAGAAAGGGGGGAAAAGAAAACACTATTTGAACGGATCAAAACCTTATCATTTCCTTAATACTAAATCACCATATATTTTGTATCCAAAGTCATTCTTTCATCCTTTCCCCCCCCAAAAAAAATGCTTTGCAGGTACTTTCTAAAGTCCATCATATTACCCACACATCTGTGGTTATTTTATCCTATGCTCTATTAAAGGGGGGGGGGGAGCTTCTTCCAAGGGAGTGACTAATGTTTTACAGAGGAAAGTCAAATCTTCAGTGAAAAACCCGGCTTGCTCCAGTTAGTGAGAACTTGGTGTAAATTTGAACTATAAATTTCTTTGGGGAAAAAGTTTGCTTTCCCAACTTTTTTAAAAAACATTTTTAAATATTTGTCGTGGTAGGGGGTGAGCCTTGCAAAGGAAAAACATGAAATTCCCTTAATAGAATCCAGACTATAATGTTAAGTGAGTCCAAGGTCAGACACACCAGGAATGTGGCAGCCGCATCCTGGACAGCAACCCCTGCTGGCCCTCACAGACACTTCAGCACTTGCCTCTCTCACCTTCTCAAGGCTCCTTATTTAGCCTTTCCCCTCAGCGCTGGCTTACACACAGAATAACCAATAGGTGAGACTGGGCTTTATAAAATGTTTTCACATACATAGTCTTTAAGAGCTTAAGGGGGCCCTGGGTCTTGAGTGGGTAAGGAGTTTGAAACCAAGCCAAAAACCTAGTAGTTCAAATCCAAATGCTCCTGGAAAGAAAAAAAAAAAAAGAAAAATGGACAATCTCCTTCCAAGAGATTTACAGTCTCTGTGACCCTACTGGGAAGTCAGCTATGTGTTGGTTCCAGCTTGACTGCAAATGAGTGTGAGTAAATCCGGTATGCTATCCTTAAGATTGAAACTGTTAAAGACTGTTCAATGAAATGAGGAAACCTCATATTACAGTGACTTTAAAAAGTACTCTGAACTCCCTTGTGTGTGCACTTCTGTTAAAAGCAATGAAGCTAAATATTGTTGTTGGTTTTGTGTGTTATGAGTCGCCTACAACTCAGAGCAACCCTATGTACAACAGCTCTAAACCCTTGCTCATTCCTGTGCCAATCTTACTGTCTCTGACACACCAATCCCTATTACCCCTAGTCACTGTATCAATCCATCTCATAGAAGGTCTTCCTCTCCTGCACTGTGTCCTCCACCCTCCCAGGAATGACGTCCCTTTCCAAGGACTGATCCCACCTTGCACCATGTCCAAAGTATGTCAGACGAAGTTTCAGAATCTTTGCCTCCAAGGATCAGCCCAGTAGTCCATGGTATATTCAATACTCTTCTCAAGCACCACATCTCAAAGGCATCAATTTTCCTTCCATCATCTGTAGGCACTGTCCAGCTTTCCAAAGCATAGCAAGTGGCTGCAAAGACCATGGCCTGTTTCTGGCGCACCTAAACTACACTGCAATCGTGAGGGAACGTGGTTCGAGGCCACCAGATGCTCTGTGGGAGAAGGATGGGCAATTTCCTCCCGTGTGATTGAAAACCCACTGGAGGGTCAGCTGTGGGTCGGTTCTGACTCGACAGTACACAACAACAACAACAATTTTTTGTAATATATATTTATTCCAGTATTTCTTTATTGTTGTAGAATTATAACACTTTTTAAGTGTAAAAGCCAGTGATACACCAATCTTGTTGTACATTTTCTATCAATATTTGTTGCCAAGTTTTCCATCACTACAGACGTTGAATGTTTCCTACTGAAAAAAATGGAGTTCTGCTCTTTTTTAAAAATGTCTGTTGTTGATATACTAATTTTATGATTTAAATTTATAATTGCATGTCTTAAACTACAACTTCTCAAAATTATAAAGTGAAATCAAAGAGGAAAAGTGCTGACAATTTTTCTATTCATTATTCTCAGACAAAGAATTATGACCAAGACAGGTTTCTGTTGTGTTTTATTATAGTTTTTAATATTGGGAGTTGATCATGAAACATCAGATAGTAGTGGCATCCACTTTCTAAACAACATGCCTCTGGAAACTCTATGAACTTTGATTAATGTCAATAGTTGTAGAGGGGCTTCAGGAGTTATGAGTCATGCTTGACTCGAAGGCAATCAACAACCACCACCTACCTTAATAAATTATTTCTTTGAAACTTACATAAATATGAGAACAATGTATAAAATATTATTTCTAAAAACTCTGTCACTATAATTGAATCTAAGCTTACAAATGTCCATGTAAGTGTCCTCAGTAGTCCTCCCACTTATTGGAAAGAGAAAGAAATCTAAAGCATCCTTATTATTGGGCCTCGGGAGCCTAATTTTGCTTAATACGGAGCTCTGGTGGCATAGCGGTTAAGCAGATGGCTGGTAACCAAAAGGTTAGTGATCTAAACCCACCAGAAGCTCCATGGAATAAAAATGTATGTCAGTTTGCTTCTATTTATCTAATCTATCCTGAATTATTGTGATACATTTTGCACTTTATTACAAAAAAATTGTACATATTATTGTGTGCTATAGATGACCCTATAGCACACACTATGTACAACTTCATACTTTTTCTCAATAAATCTACAAATTGATGATAACGCTGTATTATCAGGAGACATGACTTCAATTACTTTCCTCCTAACTCTTATATTATCATTTCCATATAAGTTGTCACATATAATTAATTCATCCTTTTTCTTTGAGTGAAATAATTTTGTGATGTATGTTGCTAGAATATAATATATTGAAATAATTTCCCGCAAAGAAGTCTGCTTTTTTCTAATTAATTTTTTTCTAATTAATTTGCTTAATTCTATGAACACCCTTAAAAACATGAAGGCTGCGTAGTGGAGTGGACTTGGGAGGAGGGATTATATAACAGTGAAATAATTTTTCTTTTATTTTTCAAAGAGAAAAACCAACTGGGGGGAGGGGTGGGCAGAGAAAAAAAGTGCAACAATGAATGAATGGAAACCCAAAATCTCTGTAAATTGTCATTAAAATTAGTAATAATAACCAAAAAAAAGAAAAAAAGCATTACTGTTATAAAAATGGTGGTTGTTGTTATCGTTGTTCGGTGCCATCAAGTGGTAGACGATTCATAGTGACCCTATGAACGAAAGGCCTGAGCACTGTTCATACATAGAGTCTCCGGAGGCAAGCCATTTCAGAAGTGGATGCCGCTTCCAGGCTTGTTTTAGTCGGGAAGCTCCAGCAAACACTGTCCACTATGGGTAACCATTACCACATTTGACACATCACTGTCACAGTGTTCAGCATCACAACAACCACAGTTACCTCTGTACAGCAACACACAGATCAGCGCTATACCACCTAGAATGTTTGACAGGAAAACAATTTGAACCTGGCCTGAGGGCTGCAGGCCCGTGGGCCCTTTAAGGCTTAAAGTTCCCTCCTGCCTTAAACCCTAGGCCAAGCCTGGCTTGCCTCGCTTCTGGCTCCTGGGGGCAGAGCAAACCTGCATGTCAAACACAAGCCTGAAAAAGCACTCAATTCCAAAAGCTTGCGATAATTCCTGTGCTCGCACCACCATGCTCCCTCTGGCAACGAGAAGTCACAGAAATCCTGGGAGGAGCCAACCAGGAAAAGATGGCCGCCTCCTCTCCCCACTCCCTTTGGGGCTTAAAAATGGTTAGGAAGATAATTACACACAGTTCCCCACCGTATCATGTGTAACTGATTTTCAACCTACTTTCCCTCCATTGGAACAAACCTCTCTCTTCCAAATTTTTTTTTCTTACTCTAATCAATTTTATTTTATTTTTATTTTTTTTTTTTATATGCTGGAGTGCTATCATATGATATTCTTCCCTTGGCACCTCTCACCAAATGACTGGATGAGATTATGCAAATGAAGTGTTCATTGCCCAACAAATGATTGGACAATTTGCTAATATATAACAAATTAAGGTGTATGGTACCCTTGTAGTGTTAAGATCATGTAGGTATGCTAGATGGGAGAGTTGGTGGGTTTTACCATCCTACTAGGCTTACACTGAGCCATCTCAGGGATGAACAGAGGGACCACTAGTACCAAGAAGAAGAAATGGAGACAATTATGTCCTTTAGATTGAGGTGTCTACGCTGAGAAACTTCTTGACCTAGAGGCTGTAACACAGCATGTAGTGAAAGATGGTGAGAAGCAGCAGAGAAATGGCAGCTTCAGAAGTGGAAGATTGACAGGGGATGATGCAGACAATTGCTGATTCATGGAATTGAGAGCTTAGTGTCTTCAGGGCACAGTCTTTTTTTTTTTTAATTTTGTTTTTTATTCACTGTTGCACATTTTCTTTTTTTTTCTATAATTATATTTTATTAATTTTCATAAACATTTACAGAGATTTTGGGTTTCCATTCATTCATTGTTGCACAGTCTTTAGCAGAGTGGGATGGCCTAGGCATTTATTGGCAGACTTTAAGAGCTTTGTAATACTTGTCCAGGCAAAGCATAGCCTAAGAAGTGCAGGGCTAGGAGGAGCCTTGCATGCAGGCACAGCTGAGAAGAACCTATCCTGTTTACTGAATGATGTTCCCTATACGGAATTCTAACCTATTACTTCCCTAATAAACCCCATAACTAGGAGTATTATCTTTGAGCTCTGTGTCACCATTGTAATAATGAATTATTGAACCAGCAGAGAGTAAAGAGTGCTGTGAGAAGAAGGCCTGACAATCAGAATTGGTAAAAGTATTTGAAAGAAGATGTAGATAAATGGATGGATGGATAGATAGATAGATAGATAGATAGATAGATAGATATAGATAGATACTCTCTGCCTCAATGTGCTGCTAATATTAATAGCCCCTTACTCTCTCATAAAGCTAGAGGAATCAGATGCCTTTGCTATGCTACTTTTTACACTAGTCTAATCTTCATTTGTTCTTCAAAGCAC